GGGAAAAAAAAAATGTCGGCGGGCGAAAAATTTAACCCGTCCGCTGCCGGCGGCCAAATTTTTTTAAAGCGGCCGCATCGCGGTGAGGCGCTGCCCCCCCATCCCCGCTCCTTCCTCCGCCCTTCCCCCGGGGCCGGGCCGAGGGAGGGCGGCGGGGCCCGGGCCAGGCGGGCACCCCGCGCCCCGGCCGCGCCGCGCCACCCCCCGCGCCCGGCCCGGCGGGAACGGCGGAGGCGAATTCCCCTTTAAATCTCCCCGCCTTGCACCCCCCCTCCTCCTCCTCCTCCCTCCTCAGGTCTCCCTCTCACCGGCTCTCGCCGCCTCCTCGCCCTCCGCCTCCTCCCGCGAACGGGACTCCCAGCGCGGTCCCACAATGCACCGGGCGCGACGGGCTCCCTCAGCGCCGCCTGAATAGAAAATGCCGCCGCCGCCGCCGGGCACGGGGGGGTTAAACCCCCCCCCCCTTTTCCTCCCTTTCCCTGCTTTTCCCTCCCTTTCCCTCCCGCCTTCCCGCCCCCTCCCGCTCCCCCTCACGCCGCATCCCACGCGCGTTCCCGCGCGGGGGCGCGCGCCGTTGCAGCGCGACATGTCGCGACACCGCCTCCCCCTCTCGCCCCCGCCCCTCGGCTCGGCACGTGTGGGCAGCCCGGGTGTGTGTGGGGGGTCTGGTCCCTTCATGCAATCCCGGAATATCGAGGCTGGGAGAGACCTTTAAGATCGAGCCGTCCGAGGCAGCGCTGCCGCTGTAACCCCTTAGATGCTAAACCGCATCGCCCAGCGCCCGACCCGGCAACTCTTGAACCCGGCTCCGGGGGCCGGGACTCCACCACCCGTCTGGCCAACCTAACAGGGCAAAATTCTTTATATGTAATCAGAATCTCCCCTGTCTCCGTTTAGGCCATTTCCCCTAATCCCAGAATTGATTAGAAATCGATTGGAAAAGACCTCTGAGGTCGAGTCCAGCTTGTGACCAAACACCGCGGTGTCAACCGGACCGTGGCACTGAGTGCCGCTTCCAGGCTGTCCTCAAACACCTCCAGGAATGGTGACTCCACCAGCTCCCTGGGAACCTGCCCTAATGGCTAATCATCCTTTCTGTGGAGAAATTCTTCCTCACACAGGCTGATGTTTCCCCTGAGAAGCATGAGTCTGCCTGTAGAATTCCTTGCTCGGACACCTTCTCCTTCAATATGAAAACTTTGAGATCGGGAACAATTTGCGTGGGAAATTTAACCAGAGCTGAGGAGACCTGGCACTTGCAGAGCCAGGTCCTCCACTGATGCTGAATTTTGCCTAGAAACTGGACAAAAAGTCACATTTGATCCACGTCATACCAAAATGTTGGGCAAGAAGGAAAGTGAGAAGGTCAAATGGACCTGACAATGGGCAAAATTTGGCCAACATCAAATTTTTCTGAGTGCAGAGCCAAGACTGTGGCCCCAGGGAGATAGAGGTGTCATTTCCTCAGGTGTCATCTCCAAGCGGTTTGATCAGTGTGTGGCCCGTGGAAGGCTGCAGGTACCACAGCAGGAGCACTGCGATGTGGCTGGTTGTGTCAGCTGGTGACTTTTTTTACCCAGAATGTGGTTTTGAGCATGCTTCAGGAAAAACGTTATCCTGTTTTGCAGCAGGTGGTGATGGGTTCAGCACAACTCTAGGAAGCTGTGGTGTGTTTTAGTAGCCAACAGCAACAGGATTGTCACAGACTACTTGCTCAAGTCCACCCTTTTCCATCACTGATTTGCAAAGCATCCTATTTTTTCTTATGCATTTAATATGCAGACCACTGGAATACAACATGTCTTTAACGTGTCTGATTTCCAGTGTCTTCTCAGTTCGTTTTTCTCCCTAAAATTGCTTTTTGTGCTTCCAAAGACCCTTTTCCCAAATGGTTAAAGTCAGGATTCAGATGAGTCTCTTGCTTTATGTGCAAGACAAGTTTTCTCTAGAAAGGAGGGAATTTCTGTGTTAGGGACACCACCGGGCCCAGATTACATTTCCAAATAGATAAAACAGGCACTTTGCTTTATGTAATTTGCAGTTAAGTACCTAATTAAGTAATTGCCTGTTAATTCAAAGATTGCTTTTCCTGCAACTGGCTTTGAAAAAGTCTTGTCTAAAAACAAGCAGAAAGAGAAAAAAAAAAAATAAACTGTTGCTTTCCTTGCCTGATTTTAATTACTCTTTTTATCTCCCAGAGAATGTAGTGCCCCAGGACTGTGGTGCAGGGGACCAGAGGTGCATGGGAGCTCCCGGCACTGAGCACATTTAGGAAGTCACTAATATTTGTATAATTAATTGATTTTCAGGCTCCTCCGTGTTGCTCTCTGAAAGCATTTCAAGCTCGACACACAGAAGCTGTTTCTCAGTGAGCAGCTGTGGGGCATTTGGCTGATGGTTTTGACAGCAGAGATGAATTGAGGACGTGGCATCTGCAGTCCTGACCTGGAATTTGAACCCTTCGGTGCCTCTCCCTCCTCCCAGATGGAGAGAGGCGGAAGATCTCGGAATCTTCTGATTGCCATCGATCTGATTTTGCTGAGCACTGGCCTCGTATCACGTCTGTGTGTTCCGTGAGAGATGATTTCAATCTGAAAAAAAGCCCTGTAAGTATCTTGAGAGCTGGAAGTCAGATGCTCTGATCTAACATTTCTCCAGCATTTAGCCATTACCTCTACAACAAGCACCTCATTTAAAAAAAAACCCCAAACATGAAGCATAAGGAAAACTGTGAGATAACATTGCTGATTTTGAGCCCTGACTTACATGATTTTCTTTCTGATATTTTTGGAGGGAAGAGGGAATTGGATCATATTTTTATCTTTTTTTTTCGTCCCCCCCCCCCCACATCTGTAAGGACTAGACATTTCTTTAACAGAGGGGAAAATAAAATAAATTGAGATCTCCAGGTGGTAACATGGCTGAAAGAAAACATGAATACTTGGAAATTCATGCTCATTAGTACTGGCACAGATGTGACTCTGTAGAGCTGAAGCTAACCAGGACCAGGGTATAGAGATGAGAACTGCACATAATTGAAGGCCTGATTAATTAAAAGCAATTTTTTGGCACAGACAATGATGGAGCACCCTTGAGTGGATCTGCACATGTCCCTGTGGATGTGTGCCCCAGGCCCTGCTGCCTGTGCTGGGGTGAGGCTTTGTGTGGGTGGGCAAGGGGCAGAAAAGGGGCTTTGCCAAGGAAGCCAAGCCAAGAGGAGCAGTGAGCCACCTCTCCACTGCAGCTTCAGGTGTGCTGCTGCACCCAGGTGCTTCTCCAGGGGCCCCACGCTTGGAACAGCTGCTGGAGGAAGTGTGCATCAGGAAGGGAATTCTGTGCACACAGGGGAATGTCCTTTTCATGCAGGATCATAAACAAAACCCTGAAAGAGTAGTGATGGATGCAGCAGCCCTGGGGAGGCCCCACACTGCTGGAACCAACAGCTTCATGGAACGTTTTCCTGGAGTCCAGTAGTGGTTTTCTAGACTTAAAAACTGATCACATTTCCTTTCCTCCCTCCCTCCCAAAGGCTTTTTTATCATCTGTGTCCAAAACCTCCAGCAGAAACTCCATGATTGGAGCAATTTGGTCCAATGCCAGGAGAAGGGACTGCTCCACACACTTTAGGAAGAGCAAAAAGGAGGAAGAAAAGAAGGTAGAGCCCTCTGTGCTGTGCCTGATCACTCATCAAAGCCAGCTGCCTCCTGTGCTGGCTTGAGGACGTGACAGATGTCTGTAGCCTTTACAGGTGCAGGGCCTGCATTTCATCAGTCTTTTTTCCATGGATGACCTGGAGTGTGGATTATTAGCAGCTCAGATTTCTTTGGCCAAGGTGCTTTGTTGTGTACACGTCCGGGTTAAATCTAAGCAATATTTCTGATCCATGTAGGCTTCTGACTCAGTCCTGCATCTTTGGTGTTTACAAAATGATCAGAGTTTGAACTCTCCCTGTTCTCTTTCTTAAATGTCAGCAGATTTTTTTAAATTTTTTTTTAATAAAACAATGCAGCCTTCCCCTGCGGTGTTTGTGACCAAGAAACTGTGGCATCACAAGAGCATGAGGAAATACTGGCTGATTAAAACCAGGGTAAGAAATGACAGCGAAAGTGTTTGTCTTTTTTTTTTTTTTTCCTCATTTCAGAATTCACAATGAAGTGGCTGGTAAAATGGGACCAGCTGGTTCAGCCCCACTAGGGCTGAATACAATGTTTAATGTGCTGAAACTACTTCCACTGGCAAACTTTAGTGTGATAATTTAATTTCTCATGTAAAGCACATCTCACAGCATGGCTTTTTCCTTACTTCCCTCTGTTTTGACAAAGTAAAGTAAGTTTGGGCTATTGTTGGCTTGCTTTGGCTTGTTTTTTTGTCTTTTTCCTGCCTCTCATTAATATACAAGTGGTATTAAATAGTAATGATGCCAGTATTGACCTCTGCTGTGCCTTGCTGTTGGCTCGTTTTTGCTTCAAGGAGCAGATGTTCTCTGTCTTTGTTTTCTGTTGCCAAATGGGGACTTTGCCCCTTTAACCTTTGATAAGGTGCTTTAATAATCTCTGATGTCAGATTTTTATCAAAAGCCAAGTAAATCATACCTGCCTGGCAGCTTCTTTTAAACATTCCCATCGTGGTCTACAGCAGTTCAAGAAAGTGCAGTTTCCTCTGTGTTTTTGCAGGCTGTATTTATCCCCTGCACCCAGCTGAGCATCCTCCATGGAGGGAGCACCCGCGGCAGGGTTCCTGGGGTTCTGCTCCTGGGTGATGCTCCAGCTACAGTCCCTATCACCCTGTAGCAGTCAAACAGGGTGATGTTTCCTATCAGTGATCTGTGGGGTCTGACTAGACTCGCCTGGACCCCATTTTCCATCAGTTGCTGAGGTGGGATGGGGAGGCTGGGAGCTGCTGCTGGGGTCTTGGTGCTTGTTCCCTTGCTGTGTGCAGAGAGGGGCTCCTGGCTGCTTTTGCACCAGCATTTAAACACCACTGTGCTGTAAAGCTGCTCTAACCCTTCCTCTGAAGAGGCACCCTCACAACATCTGTCTCTTCCTCATCCCTTTTGCAGCATTTCATACTTTGTTCCTGCACTTGGCCACCCCAAAAGCCACAAGGGAAAGTCCACTTCCCAGTTTCTATTTGTTTTTTTTGCCCAGGCCGCTACATGGCTTGTACAAGCAGCCACCATCCCTGGGGTGGTGAGGGCTCTCCCCAGGGTGGGTAGGCTGAGTTGTACCTCAGGTGGAAGCATGCCTGGCTCTGGGAAGCCTTGTGGGCAGTTTGGGAAGGTGGCATTTTGTGCCTGAGATGTGCTCTCCCATGGCCTCTTGCAGTGTTAGTGGCTGCTTCTGCTGAACCCCTTTTGGATTTACACACATCTGTGCAAAACTGCATTGGATTTGGTATTCCCACCCTGCCTTTGCTCTCTTGGCCTGTCACATGTGGGGGAAACATTTCATGGAGCCCCTTTGTTCTGCCAGTCTGGGGCAGCAGGCACAGCACAGCTGCTCTTTGTTACTGGCCACCACACAGAAAATAAAACAATCACACGGGCCTTGGTGAGGCAGCAGCCTCTGCCACACTCCCCTCAGTGCCACTGCCCAGCCTATGTGGGAACCACCTCCTTCCCCCTCCAGACCTGGAAGTTCACCTGTGCTGACAACATCTGCACTGGGGACAAGCCTCGTGCCTTGCAGTGCCCACTAGAATGCTCCTTGTGTCCTTCTCCCTCTGCAGGTCTTCGTGTCCCTAAGCCACATCCCACCACACTGAGCCTGGGCATCCCCGAACATTTCCCACTTCCTTTGGCAGGGATGTGCCCTGGGCAGAGCTGCTCCTGCAGTGTGGATGGCAGGGGCACAACCCCATCGTCACCACCATGGCCTTTGGTCCCAAGCACAGCCAGTGCTTTCCTGTGCCAGGGTTTTCCCAAGGCTGGAGCCTGTAAATAATCCAGGAGTGTCTCCTCCTGCCCAGCTCTGCACTCTGCTCCCTCTCTTTGTTTCAGAGTGAGCTGTGTGGTTCTGCCAGCCAGAGCTGCAGCCACCAGATACAGGCTCCCTTGGGATGAGCCTCCAACACTGACTTCCCAAATTACTGTCTGGAGCGATGGGTGCAGCCGAGCTGAGCCAGCAATCCTATTCCAGCTGCTGGCACGTGCCAAAACATCTGCCTGCCTGTGCTGTGCTTGTTGATGGAGCTGTGAGCAGCTCCCAGCATGTCATTTAAGAATATAAATTGAGTTCCTCCGAGCTGGAACCACCTGCTTCAGATAATTTCTCTGGCAAGGAGTCTTCTTTTTCTCCATCCAGGATTTTCCTGCTTTCCTCTGCTGCCAACCCTGTGCAGTAGCTGGGGGGGTTGGTACTGATGGGTGGGAATTTAGGTGAATCCAGAGGGGAAATGTCCTGCTGCCAAAGCATAGCAGAGGGCAAATGTGCTGTTTAAACATAGAACTTCAGAATCCCTGACTGGTTTGAGTTGAAACCTAGTCTAGTCCAAACCCCTGCCATGGACAGGGACAGCTTTTGATCTATTGAGTTGCTCAAGGCCAACCTGGCTTCGAACACTTCCAGGGATGGGGCACCCACAGCTTTTTGAGATGCCAGGCACTTCTTGATCCCACTAAGGCTGGTGGGATGAGCAAGCAGGGAAACAAACAGCTCCCTGGGAAAAGAGGTGGCTGTTGCAAGGAGCAAAATGGCCTCAGCAGACCTGGAAACCAGGGGTGTGGGAGTGAAGGATGCTGATGCTCCCAGCTTCCCTATTCCCTCCCTAGGGTGACATACAGCCAGCCCTTCAGGTCTGTCCCTGTCCCTTCTCCTCCTTCTGCCCCAGCAGTGTCCATTAGCTGAGTATGTAATTAGGATCCCCTAAACACACCTGAACTGCTGTCTGTTGAAACAAAGCTGAATCCCACCCAGAATTGTGCCAACCAGGCACTTAAAACTTGAGCAAAAGGGAGAAAGTGGTTTATATGGGAAACAGGTGTAACCTCAGCAAAATGCTCTCAGAGCTGCAGGTGAGCTGCCCTGGAAGAGACCAGGTGTGCCCAACACCACCTCTCATCTCCTCAGGGATAACCACTGTGCAACGGTGTGTTTTCCCCGTTGGAAAAGCAAAAAGAAACCAAACCCAAGCCCCTGAGCAGGGGCTGGGTGGTTTGTTCTCCTTGAGGGGTTGGATGTGAGTGTGTTGCCATAACAGTCTCACAGCAGAGGAGGCACTGAAACATCTCTCCTGCTCCCAGTCCAAGCTAGCAGGAGGAATGAGGATTGCTGAGCCCACAGGCAGTGGCTCCCCCAAGAAAACCTCCTGGAAAGCCCCTGATTTACATGCACCAAGACATGCAAAAGCTGTTTCAGTGGAGTGATGGATCCCTGGAGCTGCCAGGAGGTGAGATCCCTCTGGTGGGACTGGCTGGGATGTGGGGGTGGATGGAGGAGGGTGTCAGGGTTCCCCATATCTCTGTACCCCCAAATGCAGCCCTGCACTCAGCAGATGCACCTGGCAGTAGTGGGAAGTGCTGTAATGTGGTGCTCCGCATTCTCCTAAAGGGCTTTTCCCCAGCATTTAAAAGTAAAACCCACAAAATCCCACAGGGAGGGAAACAATCACACATTAAGTCTTCCCGTTTCTCCATTTCTTTCCCATTCCCTGCATCCCACTGCTCCTCCTCCCCTCCCTGCAGCCAGATTTGAGTGTGTTTTCCCGGGATTTGTGGCCAGCATTGGCATTAAGTAAACTCTCCCCAGCAGCATTTGCCTTTGCAGGACCTCTCGCTTGGACGGCGGGATAAAGCTGTGGAAAGGGGCAAATGCTTGGAGCGGCCTGGGGGTCCCTGGGGAGAGACATCCCTCCGGGTGAGGTATTTCCCTGTGCAGAGGGAAGGCAAAGCCGGCTGATGGCAGCGCCTGGGGGAAGCGAAGACCAGCAGACAGCCCCCGTGCCGGCTGCTTTGATTTCCAGAAGACAATTAACACCCGCCCGATGCAACTCCATTCCAGACAGCAAAGCAGCAGGAAATAGCTGCTCTTCCCAAAGGCAAAGCATTGCCCCAAGCCCCGTCTGCTGCCAGCTTGAGTGATCCCTGTGGAGCTCAAGGAGGCACAGCAGAGCCGAGGCTGAGCACTGTTTTTAACTCGGTTTTTGATTTAATCCGAGCTGCAGAGATGCATCTCGCTATGACCAATATCCTTAGCATTTTTCATATAGCTAGAATGTAACCAATGGGTCAGGGAATAGATGTGTGCTCCAAAAAATGGAGTTTCTCCACTTTGTTTTAGGGTTGGTTTGATCAGGGTGGCTCTGCATAAGCTGCTGTGAATGTGGGAGTGTGAGGAGTGGAGGCAGGATGGGTGGATTGCAGCAGAGGAACAGGGAGCTGGGGCTGGTCTGCTGCTGCCACTGAAGCTGCCACCAAACATCAGCTCCATGTGCACCTCCTGACACTCAGCAGGTAACACTGGGGCCAAAGAAGTGAATCCTTCCCATTCCTGCCAGTTTGGATAAAATCTATAGGCACTGGAATGTCTGTTGTTCATAGAATCACAGAATGGTTTGGGTTGGAAGGTGCCTTTAGAACTCACCTGGTTCCAGACCCTCTGCCATAAATCAGGTTGTTCAGAGCCCCACAAACCTGACTGTGAATGTTTCCAGGGATGGGGCATGTACCACCTCTCTGGGCAACCTCTTGCAGTGTTTCATCACTTTCATTATAGAAAATATTTCCCTTCTATCAAGTCTGCCATCCCCAAGGTGATCTTTGTGGTGCACAACACAGATGGTCATGGTGGTCCTGCACTGCTGGTGGTGCCATCTTGCATTGCACCCTCAGCATCCCACCTGGGTGGGACTATTGGCATGACAGGGATGGGCACGGTTTGATCCAAGGGAATTCCTATTCCCAGGAGATGCCTGCAGTGCTCACGAGAGTCCAGATATCTCATTAAGTGAGTCAACTGCTCCGAGAAGCAAATACTGTGTGCAGTTTTGGGCACCACAATATGAGAAAGATGTTAAACTATTAGAGAGTGTGTAAAGGAAGGCCACGAGGATGGTGAAGGGTCTGGAGGGGAAAGCTGTATGTGTAGGGGCTGAGGTCACTTGGTTTGTTCAGCCTGGAGAAAGTTGAGACTGAGGGGAGGCCTCGTTGTGCTCTTCAGCATCCTCATGAGGGGCCGTGGAAGGGCAGGCATTGAACTCTTCTCTGTGGTGACAGCACTGGAGGGAATGGCCTGAAGTTGTGTCAGGGGAGGTTAGGGTGGATAATAGAAAAAGGTTCTTCACCCAGGGAGTGGTTGGGCACTGGAAGAGGCTCCCCAGGGCAGTGGTCAGAGCACCAAGCCTG